TAAGGCTGCTTTGTGCTCTGCGAGGGAGCTGGTATCAGTTTTGCTTGAAACTTTGAGACTTCCAGTGCACCATTAATTAATCATCCAGATACAGATCTCTCCTAGGTTGGATCTGTGGAGGTTTATTGCTCCTGACTTTGATTTTCTCTCTGTAGGGCTAAGCCAGAGGATCCTTCCCTTCTGGATGACCCCAAGATCAAAGAGATCGCAGCCAAGCACAACAAGACCCCAGCACAGGTATGTAGGTGCCAGACAGTGGGTACCCTTCCTGTAACACAGCATAAAGGACAGGCTGGCTCTTCATTCCCTGTCAGCTGTGGTGCTCTTAAGTAGCAATGCAGGTTTGTTTATTGTGCAGCCTTCAAAGCGTGCTTGTAAGGGCTCTTTGACTGTCCTCAAGAAGCATTTTCTTGACTCATCTTCATATGCTGTCATGTTTCAGTCTTCCCATCTCAAGTGCTGTTGCAGCAAAGTGAACCTTTCCTTGTATAGCCTATGGAGAAGTCTAGGTGGGAAAGAAAGGAACTGAGTATCACTAAACTGGATGGGAAAGGAGACCTTCTGTGTGGAGCTCCACCTCTTCTATATTTGCACTTCAGAAAGTGCTACTTAAAATTCAAGTATGATTTGAAATGCAGCTCTGCAGAAAAGGCTTAACTCTGAACTGCAGAGTTTACAGCAAACAACTGTTGGAACAGGCTCTGCTTTCTGTAGAACAAAAGCAGTCCTTGCCCTGACTCCATGATATGCCTCTTGCAGGTTCTCATTCGGTTCCCCATCCAGAGGAATGTGATTGTGATTCCCAAGTCTGTCACACCACAGCGCATTGTGGAGAACTCCAAGGTGAGTCGTTAGGAGCGAGCTGGGTGCACGGGATGTTCAGGGATGGCATGGCTTCCCCCTGCACAGCAAGCAGTGATCCTTTCTCACCCTTCTCAAGGCCTTCTCAGGCAAGAGCACTGGACTTTTTTCTCTCTGTACATTTACTTCCAGTCTACTGAGGACTGAATTAAAGATTGCAGTTGGAGAGCAGGAGTGAACAAAGCTTTTGGAAACAGTATGCTGATAATCATAGTAGTTGTGTTATGTGATGCTTCCTGTTCTGTGTCATGGGAAAGAATTGGCTGACAGAGCTTGTTTGGGGCCTGAGTGCAGTAGCAGCCCACAAAAGGCTTATGTAGAGCAAGCACTGGTAAGAAAATAGTCCTGGTGTCCATAAGCCATGTCACTGGTCTTGATTCTGTGGTCCTTGACTGAAACCAGAATTAGGATTTTGGAAGAAACTCAGTTGCATTAGGTGGAATATGCAAGTCTGTAGATGTTCCTTTGGAATACCACAGAAAGATGCATCTCCTCCAAATGGAGGACAGAGGCATTCTGCAATGCTGAGTGCTCTCCAGGCTTCTTAAAACAACTGGCACATTTAACTGCAACTTGAGATTCTTTTAATTCCTCCCTCTCCCTGCTCACCTCCCTCCCCAACTCCAGCTAATGTAGCCTCAATTTCAGAGAGCTTTTTCCTTTCCCTCCTTCATGAAGCAGTCATTTCTTCTAACAAGCATTCTTATACTGTGGACTGCTTCCTTGATTTTGTGAATTTTGCTTAAAATATCTGATTTGTTGAGAGATGATTTCCAGCTATTTCTCTTGTTAGGTGTTTGACTTTGAATTGACTAAAGAGGAGATGGCAACTATTCTCAGCTTCAATAGAAACTGGAGAGTCTGTGCGATGAGCACGTAAGTGGCACTGGTTTGTTGGGGTGGGATTTTTTGTTTGTTTGGGGTTTTATTGTTTTTTCTCCCCAAACTGTTAAGTTATCAGCATGCCATAGTTTAGCATATGAAGTTACAGATACTAGGCTTGGTTGAAATTCAGGATATGCAGACTCAATTTCCAAATGGGTCATCCTCAAAAGCTTTCAGAATAAAATTTGAAATGTTCATGTTCTGAACCAAATCGTTACGAGCATAAAGCAAACTTCATGTTCATTTTCAGTTCAGTCTCCAAGAAACTTCTTGTAGGTGGAATGCTGACAGGAGCTGCCTTATTCATAACTTATTTTCTCCATATTGGAGAAATGAGCATGATGCAGACTCAAATTTTTGATTAATTTTGCTTGTGGAATTTATTTTGTCTTTCTGCCATAACCCTTAGGTGCGTTATAAAAACTGACTGCATGTTCTTCAGGAGTGATTGGGGTTGTGAGTGAACATTCAATAAGTAATAAAAGATTTGCAACTTGGAAGCCTAAAGCCAGACATGAAGCCTTTGTTGGAAGGCTGCAAAAAAAGTCTTCCTGGCAGTAAAGAGTGAATCTTGGAATTAGTTGTCTGCATGCTTGGAATGCTCAGAGCCTGAGCAACAGAAGGCACTCCAGAATCTCTCTGCTTACAAATGCAGCATGTCAGTGAGGAAGAGAGGAACATATTGACTCTGCTTTTATACAGTTCAGCTCCTCCCTTGGTGGCTCTTTAGTGGTTACAGCTGTGTATAATATTTTTCAGATATGAGATAATCTTTCCTCTTTTATGTCCTTCAGGTGCAAAACTCACAAGGACTACCCTTTCAATGCAGAATACTGAAGACGGTTTCCTGCCTTTCTCCAGACTTCTCAGATGCGCTTCTGCTGTTGCCTATGATTTGTCTACGTAGCTTTCTCACTGCATCAGACCCTCCTTTTTTTTCTCTCCATCACAAAGATGCAGTTATATGTACTCAATGACTTTGTTTTAATTTTTTTTTGGAAGAAGGAAATGCTAAAATGGTTCTGAAGAGCACACTGTGCGGACTAGTAGATTGTCTTTGCCAAACTACATGTCTGGAACTGGTAAGCAGAAAATATTGAGAAAGTTTGAACTAGCAGTCACTTTTTTTTTTAATACTGTGAATTGGAGCTAGTGACTATTGTTGTCTGGAAGGACCAGAATATGGCAGATTTTACATAATTAATGAGGTCTGTTTTTTTCTGATAACTCTTGGGTTTGCTTTTGTTTCTTTTTGTAACACTCCATGCTTTTTTTTTCTCTCTAATTGGAAGTACAAGTTGATTTCTAAGTACAGCAGTTTCTACATGGCTAGCTCTTTGAAAAGTGTATAGGTCCTGGTTTCTTGGTGATATAAAAGCTGTTTTTGCGTATAATAAAATATCGTTTCATTACTGTGTGTAATGAGATGGTTATTTCATCAGTGCTCTAATGGTAGTAATTAATGCTGGAGTAGCTGTGTTATATCAGCTGTCTCTAGAGATTACACAGAAGCAAGGAAGATTGCTGTCCCCCAGTTGCCTGCTGTTCTCATGCTAGCACACATGTAGAACACCTGAGTGTGATGAACCTGTGGGCATTGAGAAGTCTACTCGAGCTTCTCTATTTAAAGAGCTATTTTGATATGTCTGACAGCTCATCTACTTTTTAAATCAGTCTTTATTTTACTGAAGTGATAGTATATTTTGGTCAGTAGAAAACTTAGAGTTGAAGACCTGAAGCCTGCTCAGAATCTCTATGGAATTGATTAGTAAGTAAGTAGTAGAAAACTTGCCCTTTCTAAGCAGACAGCACATGATGCAGGAAAGATTGCTGCTGCTGTGCTTGTACGAGCAACCACTTGCAAATAAAGTAAAAATGGGTTTCCAAGAAACTTCTGTGTCATGGGCTAGCAGATCAGAAACCTACTGCCCTGTTCTGGGAGGACAGAAAAGTAAGCTTCTGCCCACGTTTTGACATGTGAGGTGTGTTTGTCCCTTGGGTTTTTTTATGGTATTCACAATACCTGCAGGTAATGGTTTTAAAGTTGTTGCCTTCTGAGAGCTGCTTAAGACTATTCAGAAGATGCATTTGGGCACTTGGAAAAACAGTGGCTAGGATTGGGGTGATTTTCTTGTGGTGGTGTAAACTTTTTTCCAAGTCTAAGTTGATCTAGAGTGTGAACTGACCTCTGAAAGCACCTGTGTAGGCCTGGCAGAAAGAAGGTTCTTTCTGAATGGATGAAATAACTAACTGTTAATGCATAACCACCCTTAAATGGTAAACATAAGGTAGGATTCTGATTCCATAACTGCATAACATACCTTAAAGGGAACTTGGCTAGCTTAAAATGTTCTGTGAATGCAGTTGTGCTCAAATTATTTGCAAAGTAGGTGGTTTCTTTCCTGTTTTTGATAAAAAAAGGTACTAAGCAGTCATACTAATTGATTTTTTTTTTCTTTCTGATAAATACTAACCATTATATTGAGAAAACAGATTTTGTTATCTTCAAGTGCTTCTTTTAAATCTTTCTACTCATGCTGAGGCTACACATTTCACATGCAACACATTTTCTTTGGTCAGAATAAGTTACAGTAGGCTGAACAGACAGATTGAGTTAATTTACAACATAAGGAGGAGGGGAATCAATTTCTGACCCTAAGCAATAGTCTCCTCTAATACTGATTCTCCTAACATGATGATAATCACTTCAAATTCTGGGCTTAAAAGCAAATTAAAAAAAACTTCAACTCTGCAAGTGTTTTTTTTTGTGTATCTATAATGTGATAAATAAAAGCCTAAAGGCATCTGAAAAAAAGCAGAACAGCTAATGGTTTTTTGTTGGGTTTTTTTTTTTTAGATTAGATTGAGCTGTGACAGGAAAACTGTTTGGGGCAATGTTGACTCGCTTGAAAATAACATTTTTGTGACAAGTGTGTTCTGGCAAGAAGTAACATTGAGGCTCAGAGTTTCCAAAATAGTACATAAGGTTCTGTTTCTTCTGATTTCATTTCACTGTAACTTTTATGAAAGTTTATGCCTGAAATTTTCCATTCTCAGAGTAGGAATTTTACTGGAGAAGACTTTTCAGACAGGCTGCTCTGCAGCAGGAGGAAGGCTAGCTAGCACTTGGGGTGGAGTGGTATTGTAACAGGCTCTCTCTGTATTTTGCTGGATGACTTAGCAGGAAGGAATTTGAGAAAGGGTCATTCTGGGACCCAGTACAGCACTTAACGGGCAGAGGGCTGGGATGGCTGGTGAAATAAGAGAGTTGGGAAAAGAGAAGCAGCTGAGCTGAAGGGACAATGATGCAGAAGCTTGAACAGAAAGCAGGTAGAAGGGATGAGGAGTGGGAAGGGAGTGATGGAAAACCTTGTTGTGCATAATGATTTTGGATTGTTTCTTCAAGGCCAGATAAAATTAAATAAGGCTGAGATAGAGGAAGAGCCAGTCTGCAGCCAAACCTATGTAATCTAGGTTGATCTGGGGATTGTTACAGTAAAAGAAATGGTTGTTGTACCCCCATACTTGCACCACACTCTCTCTCTACAAAGGCAGAGATTTCTTTTCATCTCCTAAAAGGTAAAGTGGAAAGATCAAAGAATTAGATATGAGGAGCCTGGCATTC